GTATTTATTTCAATTTATGCAATTCTTTGTAACTCGAGTTTCATTTTAGAGGGCTGATTATAGTGAGTTCAAAGTACATAATTTCTTGTGCTCCTCAGGCTACAAAAGCTTACAACAGCAGTAAAACTGGTTGAAGCCACATCTAAAAGCTTCCGTTTGCAGCCTGATTCCAGACATGACGGTAGCGGCAACTACCAAATAAACGTATTCCTTCAAGTTACTGAAATCCCCCTGCAAATTCCATCCAAGGTACTGAAAGAAATTTTAAGTTCTCTTCATTTATTTTATTACCCTGCTATTCTCCTGAGTATCTGTTTTATTTTCTGTTGACAAAATTTTCAGTGTATTAAATTATTATTATTATTATATCTGATTTTGACGTGATCACAGAACACAACCAGATATTACAATTATAGAAGATAAAGAAGAAGCCCCATCTACTTCATTTTATCTATTGATTTTTTTGCTATTCTGTGTAAAATAGAGAAAGTGCAACAGAGAAATTTCCTCGAGATGAATATGCTGACCCAAAAAATGATGAGGATGAAAAGCGTGACTATCTGGGAGATGAAGACAATGCGGATAACTTAAAGACCAAAATCATGTAAAGTATTTCCTTGCTCCTTAATGCTTTTGTAGAGTTTGTTTAACGCAAGCTATTTCACTTTCATTTAATCTGCCAAGACTTGCTCTACTTTTCTCTTCGATATGTTCATTATTTGCCTGCATGTCATTAACGCCTTTTGCTATTACGGTCTTATATTCAAATAAATAAGGTGGAGCATGTAACTGTAATTGGAAAGACTTAATACTATATTTTATTAATTTAAATAAATCACATTAAGTTTTATTCTTTTCTGGTCTGCAAATGTGAATCGTTCAGTTAGTCCAGTGGCTTTATATAATTTTGCGAGATATTTTTGTGAATGTAACCTGAAAAAGAAAAAATTCTCAGTGCTTGAATTTTCGATGCTGAAAATATTTCTTATTTCATTTCTTTGGTTTGTTAAGTCATAGCAATTATGTCAAATAGCTTAAGGGTTTCAATGTGGTTACAATCTAAAGAATTATAACTCCAATTGGTGGTACAATATGATTTTCTGTGATAAAATGAATTATGTTATCTTTGATGTCTACATATGGTAGTTAGCCCTGTCCTGTTGTTATCTGCTTTTTTGCTACAGGTAGCACAGTTTTCCCATTTAAATTCTTCTGATTTATTTCTCCTCTTTGACCACTTTTGTTATGCCATTCGCACTATTGTTGGTTTTTTCTATGTTTCAGCCCTCCTTTGAGTACCTCACAATGCTATCCTGACCACTATTGGATCTTCTTATGCTTTTGATTACTAATTTTTTCTTTCAAAGTTTTTCTTGGTAGAACATCAAAAGTTTATCCTGTTATCCATTTCCTTAGGAATCCTTATTTCAGTACTGAATTTTAATTCTTTCTTTATATCTTCATATGTTAGTGGTAATGCATGGGATTTGTAGCTTATGTACTGATAAGTTTTAAACAATAAAACTCTAGAATGCACGTTATTCCGAGACCGAATAGGAAAATTGAATTACTGTGATTATTTTGTTAAAGCTGTGTATTATTAATAAAGCCATTGATATATAGCTTGTCAATTTTCAATTTTGATGGTATGGTTACTACTCTTTACTACAGTGGACTTTCAATGAATAACAATAAGGTAACATTTTTCGTTGCTGGAGTAGTAGACTTGCTCAATACCTGTCTTTTACCATTCTTATGTGAGGACAGTTGAACACGAAAGTTAATAAATGATTAACACTGGAAGATAAACTCAGAGCTCACTTGAGATGGTTGGCATGTCTTGTGTGGACCTCCAGATTGTATTGCTGAATTTCTCAGCTGGTATAGGATTCTCTTCGTGGTTGATTATTAAGTTACATTAGACAGACAAGCCATATGAAAGACCAATATTCACTTGTTGAACCGAGGAAATAGTTGTCATTGAAGTCCTATTTATTTTTAAAGTCATTCGATGTCTTTTCTTACTATAGTTGCAAATTCATCTTTGCGGCAGTTAATGCAGAGCCTGTGAGTGAATCTCCAATTTCTCACAAGGCTTCCAAAAAAGGGTCTTGTAAGGTACCTGCAAATTCAAATAAGAGGAAGAAAAAAGATACATCATCTGAATCTAAAGACGAGGAGCTAAATAGTGGTGAGGAGAGTGACGACTATGAAAAACAATTTAATTTGTTTTTATTTGGGTCCTTCTTGGTTTGATTATGTTTCCATTGTTGTCCTGTTATGGTTGCTTCTTCTATAGTTTCTGCAGTTTGTAGTTTCTGTTGGAATATTTTTTGATTCAGATTGTTTTTTATCCTGTATTCCATCTATTATTCACACCCATTATTTTTTGAGTTTCTTTGCTCCCAATCTAAGAGATTCTTCCTTTTATGAGAAATGACAACTGTCAGATTCAAGTGTCTTTTATTGGTGAACATTCTTTCTTGTTCTATTGAACTTTAATTGCTGGATATTAGTTTTATAGTTAGTCTGATTCTATTGAATCTTTAATTGCTGGATATTAGTTTTATAGTTAGTCTGATTCTATTGAATCTTTAATTGCTGGATTTTTAGTTTACCTTTACGAAAAGATTGAATTTTTAGTTAGCGTTTAGTTCATATTCCTAGGTTTTAGTTTACTGCTTTTTCTGATTCTGAAAAATGAAACTTTAATTAATGAGTTTAAAAAAAAATTAATCTTTAGTTAATTATTAGTTTCATTTGTTGTATTGGTCTACTATTTTCAAGTTTAACTTGGTCTTAAGCATCTTTAAGCTGAACTTGAAATGAGTACTGGATCAATGCAACTTCTTTACATGCTAATTCCTGTTTCTTTTGTTAGAGAAATTCAACTAGCACGAGGACTATCATTTGCCATTACTGCAAAGGTCAAGGAAAGGGTGCTGCCAAAGCTACAAGAAGTAAAAAGGGCAGTGACCATGGAAGGAGTCGACCTCCATCGGCAAACAAAAGCTCTCAGCCTGAATGGATGAGTACAACTTTTCTGGTTAAGCTAAAAGCTCTGAATATTTCCATTGGCTGCTCAGTTGCACTTTAAAAAGTGAATCATTTTCATCATTATTTTCATTCTACAGTATGAAATTTAGCAAGTGTAAAGCATTTGTGCTTTAAATTAGTAACCTGTATTGACAGATACCATTAACCGCCAAGATAGAAGGCTCTGTCCAACTTTGTATCTGCTCGTCTCTATATCTATGATTCACATATGTCAACAAATTACAAGGTGATTGAATTTTATCCTTGATTAGCAATTCCAATACTAAGTACTCCACCATGGAGTTGATGTTCATGTTAAGCACCAAAATTGATTGTGTAACTATAATGTTTAACCATTGCAGTTCACGTGAAGTTTAATATATCAATTGTCAGAGCAGTTAAAAAGCATTGGAAATTGATAATATATTAACAAACTTTCATGGAATGAATAAAGTATCACCAAGTATTATGGGAAACAACTGCAAAAAAAATTAACGCTAAATAACTATTGGGCCTGTGCTTAGCACAGGCTACACCCACTAGTATAATATAAAGCAAAGAAAATAAAAACTTATAAAGAAAAAAATAAAAAAAACAAAAAAAATATAAAGGAATACGAAGGAAAATTACTCAAAGGTCAACTTCTACAACGATATTCATTGGTCCTCATTAAATTCATACATATAAACTGCAAACCTAAATTGAAAGTCATGTATTTTAATACATGAGCCTTGCGCATTGATTTCTAAATCTCAAATCATATTTTACTCACTTTGCTCTTCAACAATCAATCCAACAAAACACAATAATGGTCTTTTTCCAATTTTAACTAAACCAATTCAAATCAATCACAAATAAAAAGGAAAAGAAAGACGACTAAAGAAGGGAGCAAGTTCTAATGAATTTTCATAAGGATGACATCCAAAAGAAATGTCTTGTATTATTTTGTAAAACATCTGAACCTTAAGTGAATCTTTTCAAATATTAAACGTCAATGTTAGACGAGCAACAAATTAAGATCTCACAAGTCATGAATAATTGCAAGATAAATCAATAATATAAAACAAACACAAGTAGAACAAAAGAAACAATAAGAAAAAAAAAAACTCACATCCAACAATCAACTTACTGCGCATCCTAATATTTCACGAGCAACTATAAATGACATAAGTAATGATCTCTTAATAAATTAACTACTTATTTAACAAAAAGACAAACAAAACAAAAAAGACGAATTTAAAAGAATATTTTTGGGCCATGCTTAGTATGTGCCATCTTTTACTAGTACTAGTGTATACACAAAAATAAAAATAGGGATTTTTTCTTTCCTATACCATATATAAAACCTTATTATCAAAAATGTGCATAGTTTCTAATTTGCCCGCTCTGTCCACATTTTTTCTACAGTTATTATACCAATCATTAAATACTAATTAATAGTAGCTGAATATTCCTAATTTGTCGAGCTAAAATTAAGGAACAGAATATTCTAAAAAGATTTGGCGTAAATCAGATCAAATCATATTCTTCCAGATATTCCTATTTAGGCGCGCTACAATTATGGAAGTAAATATTCTTCCAGATATTTTCCACCATTAATAGCCATTAAAAAGCTTGAAAGCTTTGAATTCAAATTTGGGTTTTCAAAAATCATTATTTGTTTGGATTGGGTGTTGTTGAAAATAATCGGGAATATGGTTTGGAGTTTATATCTCAATTTTGAGGGGTTTTGGTGAAGATTAAACTTGGTTTTGACTGAATTTCAGATTGAAACTCGAAGAAGAAGAAGACATATTGCAGAAATTGTAGATAAATTTTAGATTATTTGTATTCTGATTGTAGATGCTTTATTTTCTGTTTTCACAAATAAAAAACGACTAAAACTCCTACAAATCTTCTGAAAAAACGCAATTATGTCAAAAAATTACAATTATGCTACAATTGGATGAGAATTGGGATATAAAAATTCAATGTACCCAGTTTGTAGATATTTTGTAGATTATTTGTATTCTGATTGTAGATGCTTTGTTTTCTGTTTTCACAAATCAAAAACGACTAAAACTTCTACAAATCTTCTGCAAAAAACAGTCTACAATTTATCTACAATTTTTCTACAATTGTTGCAATTCTTCTTCTTCTTCTTCTTCTTCTTCTTCTTCTTCTTCTTCTTCTTCTTCTTCTTCTTCTTCTTCTTCTTCTTCTTGTTTCAATCTGAAATTCAGCCAAAACCAAGTCTAAATCTTCACCAAAACCCCTCAAAATTGAGATATAAACTCCAAAACATATTCTCAATTATTTACAACAACACCCAATCAAAACAAATAATGATTTTTGAAAACCCAAATTTGAATTCAAAGCTTCAAAGCTTTTTAATGGCTGTCAATGGTGGAATTGCTGCTCTCTTGTCTCTTTGAAGGTTTGTTCTTCTTCATTGAGAAAATTTGAAGCTGAAGGTAAATGTGTGTATGAACTTTGAAGATTTGACTTCAATTTTGATGAACTTTGTTGTTCTTCATTGATGAACTTCAACTGGAGTAAAATGGGGAACCAACTTTGTTGAAGGGTTTCTTCAATTTTCTGTGAATTTAGAGGGAGAATTTGGTTACAGAGGATGAAAAATAGTAAAAAGAACGTGGCTATGGGTAAAACGTGAGTGGGACTGAGGGGTTAGGAGAGAGAAACATGCAGATTCCTTTAATTAAGGAGTAAAAAATGTACAATTAATTATACCCTTAATTAATTATGGTATAGAATTGGTAATTTGGTATACTAAGTGTAACTAAGTCAAACCTTAAACATTGAGGGTAATAAGGTTTCCTATGTGGCATAGGAATGTAAAAATTCCATAAAAATATGAGAGTGTAACGTTGCCACGTGTCATTAACTCTCCTTATAGGTAATTTTTTCTTATGTTTCCACTTTATGTCCAGCCATTAAAAAAGGAGGAAGAGAGCTGGGGGAGAAAATGGTGTTCAACATAGTTTCAATTTTTGACAAGCAAGAATCAACCTTTTAGCTAAGTGGTGAACACCTTTCTTACAAAATCAACTACTTCTATCAAGCAATCTAATCCGTAAAAATTATCATCTTACACACACAAAAAAAATTGGTGAAAAGGATGACTGTTTATATTATATTAAGGTGGAGGTACAAGTAACATGCGAAAACATGGTTATGGTCCTGGGGATGGGGCGACATCGTATTGGGTCTTGACAAAAGGGGAAATCAGGAGAAAAATTAGTGTTAGTGGTTCTCATATCCTGGGGAGTACAAAAGGAGCGTCCAAGGGGACTTGACAAACAGTTGGAGGGTGCAAGAGTTGATGGTGCCACATCTTTAACAAAAATTTTCTCCCATTGGTCGTCTTCCAAGGCTTTGCGAACAAAAGGTGGTGGTTGTTCAATGATAGTGTTGCCTGCCGAACTATCCATACGACTTCCAATTTTTGCTAGTAAATCAGCTACTTCGCTTTGTTCCCGATAGGTAAAAAAAAAAGAAGATAAAATCAAAACTCGCATTATTTAAATTCCCCAATCTTTTTCCACGAGGCAAATGAAGAAATCTTCGGCAGGAGAGTGGTGCCGCGGTAGGGAATGTAAAGAATTAGGCGAAGGATATGAATTGTGGGTTTTCGATCGCTAAAATATCTTAATTTTCTCTTTGCAAAAAATAGGTAATGGAAAACAAGAAAAAAGGAAGAGAAAGAAAAAGAAAAAAGTAAACTAAAGAAGATACATAATTAAAAAAATGTTGTAAATAACAAAATGCTAACTTCTTTTTTGCTTCCCAAACGTAAATACATTCTCTAGATAAGTTAGACGTCTCAAAATAAGACAATAACAATAACAATTTAATGTATTCCACAAATGGGATATGAAGAGGGTAGTGTGCACACAAACCTTACCTTTGTTAGTACTCTGTATTCAAAAAGTGACCAACGGACTTAACGATCGGTAGCAAATCACACTTGCTGTTGTTTGCTTTCTGTTAAAAACAATGCAGAAGGAAGAACGAGAAAACAGAATTTTCGTAAGGAAAATGTGTAGGAAATATCATATATTTATAGCCAAAAAGTTGGGTAATAGCGAAGAGTTGCAACTCAAAGTGATTGTTTATAAAATGGTCATTTATGCAAACCGCCAAATTTAAATTCTAATGTGAAAATCTATTTACCATTACAGAGACGGTTGATTTGGATTAAAATAATATTTAATATGAACAAATAAATTTGGTCCAATAAATTGATCAATAAATCATTTGACCGAATCCGATGTGATGGCCGAGGCTTGACTATTTCTCAACTCTTTAAGAATTAGAAGAAGTGCAATTGTATGTATACCCATCAAAATTCTTTTCCTCCTCCAATATAGGACAATGTCCCTTTGCTAAAGAGAAAAATTCAAAAAATTTATTTTCCCCTCTATTTCTCATTCACTATATTTTAAGATATTATAAGTTTAAACTCAATAACCTCTAGCTTATGAACGTTAAGCTAATATAGATAATGAGAGTATTTATGAATTAGCTCATAGATTAAAGTTAAGGCATTGACATCAAAATGTCTTCAAATTCCTTTGTAAGCCCTCAAAGAAAGAGTCCGAAATTTTTGTAATGCTTTTTTGGGCAAAAAATACATTTCTACTTCTAAAATAAAGTTACATAAATAACTAAAACGCAGTATAATACTCCATTTTACTTTAACGAAAAGTTAGCCATTAAAGTAAAACGCATTACTATACTGCGTATTATTAAAAAATTAATTTTTTTAAGGAAAACGCAGTATAATACTGCATTTTCCCAATACTGCGTTTCCCTATTAATATTGGGCCCACTTCTGCAGAACCTGCTGGGAATATTTATTTTTAATGCAAAAGGCAGTACAATACCGCATTTAAGGAAAATGCAGTATTATACTGCATTTTGCTTTAAAATTTGGGCCCACCAATAAGTGTTCTGCGGATAACTGACATACCAATAATTCAAATACATAAAACGTGGTATTGTACTACGTTTTACACAAAAATAATTCTGCACCCCAAGCTTATTTAAAGGGTTTGAATTTTATGAAAATCCATTCAATATTTTCCTTCAAACTTCCGTTCATACTTCTCTCTTCTTCTTATCAATCATTTTTCACAATGTCTGAAGAGCCAAAAATAAGGGTTTCATTATATTGGGGGGGTCAGGTTGTGCTGGAGGAAGATTTCCATATTTAGTGACTCCGCAGGGGTTTGCTTATTACTCTGAGTTTAACATCGAAG